AAGCAAGCAGCTCATCGGCCCCTATACAAGGGCGACGGCTCTCTTCAGACGCGGATGACCGGCCGTTCAAACATTTGAGGAGGGGTGGGGAGCCAGAAGGTGGGGGAAACCTTTGGAACAAAGGGCCGAATCTCAACAGATCATGACGACAAGGCCACTCTACTGCTTACAGCACCCCGTTCCCTGTCTAAGTCGTGTACAAAGGGTTTGACTCCCCGAACGAAAGAAATTGCAATGAAGAGACCCCCAGGGCGTCGGTGCTCCGCCGCAGGAGGGACAACTCCGAACTTATGCTTTCGGGGCCAGACGGGCTGGCCCGTCTGGCCCCATCGACAGCCTTGTGTCATCCGAGGAGGCATACGCCGTCGCTGCAAGCACAGATTCTGACTTAGAGGGGTTCAGTCATAATCCCACGCACGATAGCTTTGCACCGCTGGCTTTTCAGCCAAGCACAATTGCCAATTGTGCGAACCAACGGTTCCTCTCGTACTGGGTTTGATTACCATTGCGACGGCGGTGCATCAGCGGTGCATCAGTAGGGTAAAACTAACCTGTCTCACGACGGTCTAAGCCCAGCTCACGTTCCCTGTTGGTGGGTGAACAAATAAGGCCAAACCCAAACTTTTCAATTCGAATTTCGCAGTTGCCGCTCCCTTGCGACGGACGTTCCCAGCGGGTTCGAAGGGTGGGGCGCCCTACTCCCCGAGGGGAGGAACCGTAACAAGGTTCGTGAGCTTGCTCAGATCGTCGGAGGTAAGCCAGTCCCACCCTCCCGAATGCACCCACGGTTGCAACCGTCCCATTTCCCAACACTTGGATCGCCATTGCGTCGCTCAATGGCAAAGGGCCGCTGGTATCTTTCATCATAAGGTTTACGAGTCAGAAGAGCTGTGCAGATGTTCAGGTCGTATGGAGGAGGAATGCCAAACATGGGCAAGCCTCCTGTCGAGGACCTGATGCGTTTAAGAAGCTACATCTACACAACTTTCCCCTTCCAGGACGGAAGGGGTAGGACTTGCTGTCGCTTGCTACTTCCACCCTAATCCTTGAGAGCAAGTCCTTTCTTCCCCTTCCATGACAGAAGGGGTAGGACTTGATCTCGACATATTTGCTTGGGAGCCTTACAATCGAACACTTGGTGAATTCTGCTTCACAATGATAGGAAGAGCCAACATCGAAGGATCAAAAAGCAACGTCGCTATGAACGCTTGGCTGCCACAAGCCAGTTATCCCTGTGGTAACTTTTCTGACACCTCTAGCTTCAAGTCCTGAAACGCTAAAGGATCGATAGGCCATGCTCTCTCTCTCTCTCTCTCTCTCTCTCTCTCTCTCTCTCTCTCTCTCTCTCTCTGTGTGTGTGTGTGTGAACACTTTGCACTGTGAAACAGGGGGGAGGGGGAGGGAAAGGGGAGAGGGACTAGAATAGGAACGAGTGAAAAATAAGGGGAAGGGGGAGAGGGGTGGATTCTGCGTTTGGAGGGAGCGAGGGGAGAGAGGTCATTCTAGCGGGCCAGCGACCCACTGAGGGCGGAAGTTGCGACTGGGTGCGGTTCGCCTTCCGGCAACTTCCCCTCTCAGGGGGACGCAGACCTGAGTTCAGTGAGTCTTTCAAACCGCCGCATGCGACTCATGGTGCTGGCCAGGGTCGATACCTCCACAAACCTCAATGCTGTCTAATCTGTCTGTTCTTTTTCACAGTCTGTACTTGCTTGCCGGTGATAAGTAACCGGACTGTTGCCCCCCAGAATAGAAGGGGTGTGTGTGTGTGCGAGTTTAAAAAAAAAAAAAAAAATGCGAATGGCTCATTAAATCAGTTATCATTTATTTGGTGGTCTCCTTACCACTCGGATAACCGTGGTAATTCTAGAGCTAATACGTGCAGCATATCCCGACTTCTGGAAGGGATGTATTTATTGGATAAAAGGCCGATCYRGGMTTGCCCGTTGTTGCGGCGAATCATGGTGACTTGTCGAATCGCATGGCCTTTGAGCCGGYGATGTTCCATTCAAATTTCTGCCCTATCAACTTTCGATGGTWGGATAGAGGCCTACCATGGTGGTAACGGGTGACGGAGAATTAGGGTTCGATTCCGGAGAGGGAGCCTGAGAGATGGCTACCACATCCAAGGAAGGCAGCAGGCGCGTAAATTACCCAATCCTGATATAGGGAGGTAGTGACAATAAATAACAATACTGGGCTCTTTCRAGTCCGGTAATTGGAATGAGAACAGTCGTAAACTCCTTGAACGAGGATCCATTGGAGGGCAAGTCTGGTGCCAGCAGCCGCGGTAACACCAGCTCCAATAGCGGATATTTAAGTTGTTGCAGTTAAAAAGCTCGTAGTTGGATTTTGGGTGGGAGGGGTTGGTCCGCTCTTGCGGGCGTGTACCGGCCCTTTCGCCTTTCTTGCCGGGTATGCGTTCCTTGCCKTTATTGGCTGGGATCCAGAGCCGGCGCTGTTACTTCGAAAAAAATAGAGTGTTCAAAGCAGGCCTGTGCTCTGAACATATTAGCATGGAATAATGCGATAGGACTCTGGTCCTATTTCGTTGSTCTTCGGGATTGGAGTAATGATTAATAGAGACGGTTGGGGGCATTCGTATTCCATTGTCAGAGGTGAAATTCTTGGATTKATGGATGACGAACTTCTGCGAAAGCATTTGCCAAGGACGTTTTCATTAATCAAGAACGAAAGTTGGGGGATCGAAGACGATCAGATACCGTCCTAGTCTCAACCATAAACGATGCCGACTAGGGATTGGCGGATGTCTATTGGATGACTCTGCCAGCACCTTGTGAGAAATCAAAGTTTACGGGTTCCGGGGGGAGTATGGTCGCAAGGCTGAAACTTAAAGGAATTGACGGAAGGGCACCACCAGGTGTGGAGCCTGCGGCTTAATTTGACTCAACACGGGGAAACTCACCAGGTCCAGACATAGCAAGGATTGACAGATTGAGAGCTCTTTCTTGATTCTATCGGTGGTGGTGCATGGCCGTTCTTAGTTGGTGGATTCTCGATTATCTGAAAAGACGTGCTGATAACAGACCCTTGGATCTACGACCAATTGGGCAAGTTCACCAACGGGCGGCAGAAGTCTTCTCATCAGTCTGTAGGAGTCGTGCACGATGGAGAACGTTGACCAATGATTTCAGTAGGAGGATCCAGACTACGCAGAATGAGCCTTAAACGATTGGAGTCAGAGAAGAACAACTGACACGAGCCAACAGGGCACTCAGTGCAGAGATCAACAGCCTCAATGAGGAGAAACAGATACTGATGGAGGAGATAGAATCACTCACAAAAGATTTACGTGTCCTGACGGAGAGAGATTCCCTCCCTACATCACGTCTCCCCCTACCGTTATTATGTGTAACGATCCTCCGAGTCCTTTTCACTTCACTCATCTTGCATTGGTAAGATGAACCTGGAATCCGGGGGATCAACATCACATTCTCCTAATAAGCTTTCGAATTATATTTGGAGTTAACTTAATTTTGGAATCACATGTGATTTACTGTGTTGTCTGGGCGAGTATGGAATCAGACGGGGTTACCTCAGCTCTAGAAGGCATCCAAATGTTTAGAAATATCAAGTCCCTCCCACATGGTAAAAAAAATGTAAGTCCTGGTGCGGGCGGGTATCTGGATGGGGACAGTCATACCACATGAATTTGTGGGGTTAATTAGCGTAATGCTATGCATTTATGGACACACACACACACACACACACACACACACACACACACACACACACACACACACACACACACACACACGATTTTTCATGCTGGACCAGACCAGAACCATATTTATCCCTGTGTTTGAACCTGATTTTGGAAGCTGAAGTCCGAGATTGGGAACCCAAATCCAACATCGGAAATTCCCACCTGAGTTTGGACTTTCAAACCCAAGATAGGAAGTTCGAACCGCAAATCAGATATTCAAATCTGAGATCAGAAGTTCGAACCCAACACCGGAGGGCAAGGGGGAGTTTCCCTCAAGTCAATTTGTCCTTTGACACACTACCGTCTTCTTCCAAAAGAATGCACAGTTGTTATAGCTGTATTTGAGGCAATTTTCTATCTAGATACAGCCGTAATGACCGTGCATTCTTTTACGGATATGACGGTACTGTTTGCGTGCAGCTTGTAGTCCGTGCGTGGTGTGATTGCCTTGAGTTTTTCTAACTTCTTTGTTTGCTTTGGTTTTTTTTTTTTTTTTTGGCTAAACCTTAAAACGTTCGCCAGGACTACTATTGTAGGTGATATGAGCATCCCACCATAGTGGCCCTGATTTGGACGGCTCCGATCTATTGGTATAGAGCTTCATCTCCTGGAAAATCGGTCCACCGGCCCATTGTACAATGTTTTCTGCCCATCAATCAGGTTGCTGTTTGAGAGATAAGCTGCCTCAAGTTTGATTTCCACTTCCTGTGTGCGTGCACTTATTCTCATTTTACTTCTGTAGTCCACTTGGAGGAGTCGTTCTTTTTTCGTGTGTTTTTTTTTTTTTTTGTCTTTTCGTTTTTCAACATTTCAATGATGGGGTGCCACCTTATATTATTATTGTGTTAATCTGATTCTGTCTGAACACCAGCTGATGATCTGTTTACCAACAATGAGTACATGTGTGCGTGCTGCTCAGCCACATTGGCCAGTCCTCATCTCAGTTAAGTTACCTGTAAGTTCTCAATATCATCATTGTTTGGATCAAACTTGCAGATTTGATTTGGGGATGCTGGTGGCCTTGTTTTGTGCAGGTGCTGGGGGTCTTCGAATGGGATGGACTTAATCCGCTCCCACCTGAGATGTGGTTGCTGCCCTATGTCTTGCCCGTCCATCCAGGTGAGGTGCAATGCAATTCCACAAGCCTAGACTCTCTCTCTGTCTCTCTCTCTCTGTGTGTGTGTGTGTGTGTGTGTGTGTGTGTGTGGAGCAGTGCAAGGCAATTGCAAAAGACTGGACTTCCCCTGCAACCCCCACCCCATCTCTCTCTCATGGATGTGTGTTGCATACTGTAATGTGCAGACCAGAACAAGAACCGACCTCTCAATACAAAGTACAAGATAACACAGCGGAAGACTTAGATACAAATGATCCGACCAATCAATATTGCAATGCAGCTCTGAACACACATCATCATCATCGTTATCTGGTGTGAAGGGGGTCTGGCTTCACACAAGAAGACTGCGCCAGCCCCAACCATACACAGACGAAGAAGGAGGGGTTAGACGAAAGAGGAGGGGAAGATGGGAATGTCGTCAACACCAAGTCTCGGTACAGGCCCAAATAGTCCCTCGTCGAAATGTCTGAATGCCAATGTCCAGTCTGGATCCAATGTCGTCAAGTCTCAAGTCACAACTCTTTCTCTCTCTGTCGTAGTCTGAGAAGTCAGGTGGCGAGAGGGTGAGAAGAGATGATGGACTTAGAAGAGGAAGAAGAAGAACTCTCTCTCTCTCTGTGTCCAGTACTAACCTGTGAAGTTGGCGTCTGGATGCAGGTACCACGAAGATGGAGCTGGAGCGATGGCGCCACAGGTAAGTACCACTGGCCTCCGCCAGTATCTCTCCCACTCTACGATCTACAACCTACCATAGCGCCCAGCGCTGAAGACTACCACTAAGGATATGGGCGTCCAGCGCCGAAGACTACCACTAACGCTAATACTACCTAGCACTGGAGACTACTGCAGCGCTCCTGCTCAGTGCTGCGGCCGAATCCTGAAGACTACTCGTGTGCACTGACCACTACCTCCCGTGAAGTGCCTAGGAAAGTCCTATGTACTACCGGGGTGCCTCCTGACTGCTGGCGAGCAGTCCAGGAGGCTGCTCTTGCCAATCCAATCGGAGGCAGGGGCTGCCGCTGCAGCTCCTGCTCAAACTCGAGGAACAGGCTATTCTTGGCCTGTTTCGCATCCATGTTTACGTGCCTGAGTCTTAGGGGCAGGTCGAAACAATGAGGGCCTGAAAATGGCCCTCCGTTTCAGGCTGAAAACTCTGGGTCTGAAAAGACCCAGAAATAGGCTGAAACGGGGTAGGGCCTGCAGTCCCTCGTTTTTTCAGCTTTCAGGCTGAAACGACCGGGGCCTGTAAGCCCTAAGTTTTAGGCTTTTAGGCTGAATGTCCGGAACGGGCCCTGCAGGGCCCGTGTGGCTACGCAGTATGCCACAATGTGTGTGCGCATGTGCGCAATACAGTTGATGGGGCCACAATTGGGGCTGGAGTGGAGGGCTATGATGTGCTGTAGAGTGTTGCTTTATCTTTCTTTCCTTCATGTTTCGGGTGACCCCATGGAGAAATCTGGGGGGGGAGGGGAATCACTTGGCCTACTATGGAACAATCTGTCAAGACTTTTGTAACGAGCTTGTCTTCATTCACGAGTTCATAAAGTCAACCCTGGGGATCAACAAGCTCTCCTGAGATTAGGGTGTGGGTTTGTAACTTTGAAGCCTTGTTTTAAGTGTATTCCAGTGTCTGAAATCTGAATCCGTCAAAAAGAGGGATAAAGGAACTCACCCTAATATCTTGTATATGTATCTTATATATCTTGTGTTAAGTTATATATCTTATATCATTTGCAATTTGGCATACATATGTGCACATTTTGAAACTGCACAACCCTTGTCTTGAAATGGAGTAGTCCCCCGTGCCCTGTTTGATGGAACGAAAAGCGTTGTATGTAGCGGAAAGTCGGCGAGAAAATGCAAAGTGGATCTCACACGTTTATTGGCTGAGGGTAACTAAGCTAACTAACCATCTGCGTCTCTCCGTCTGGTTTTTGAGTGCAGTTTGGGTTTAGGGTTTTTGGTTTAGGGTTTTTGGTTGAGTTTTGCGTTGGGTTTCCGGTTTGGGGTCTTGCATTGCTTTTTTTGGGTTTTGGGTTTTGGGTTTTGCATTCTTTGTTTGTTTGTTTGTTTGTTTGTTTGTTTGTTTGTTTGTTTGTTTTCTGGTTTAGTGTTACTTGTTTGGGCTTTGGGTGATTGGTGGTTGTGTTTTTTTGGTTGTTTTTTTTCAGCGTTTTTTCGGTGTTTTTCTTGGCTGGTCTTTCGGTGTCTGGTTTTGGTTTGGTTCTTTTTTTCACCTGGCGGTTTGCAGGAAGAATGTGGAACCATTGTCGAATGGTTTACCTGCCGATGTGCTATATCTATGGAAAGCGATTCGTGACCAAGCAGACTAATCTGATCTTGGAGTTGCGTGAAGAACTCTTTAATGTGCCCTACTCAGAAATAAACTGGAATAAGGCGCGCTCGGAAGTTGCCAAGGTCCGGAGACAAACTACCGTGCTAGCTTTTCAGCAAGTTCTATGTACATTCTCATTTGGAATGCTGTACAGTGAAAACTCGAAAGAATTAAAGCAAACTGGGAAAATGTTAAAGAACTGAAAAAACTTTCAAAAAAGTAAAAAAAAAAGAAAAAAAATAAAAAAACTGAGAAAAACTAGGCTGTTTTGCCAGGCACCCAGGCACCCAACGTGTGCCCAGAAACATGCACGGGTGCTAGGACGGGCATGATGCCCGGGCAGGGTTCCTGCCAGCCCCAGCGCAAAAATAAAAAAGTAAAAAAATCCAGGAAAAAAAGACGGTGTGCAGAATTGTAATGCAAACGAATTTTGGCTGAGGGTAACATCTTCATTCCTTGCAGAATGAAGATAAAAAGAAAACAACAGAATGCAACTAAGGCACTCTCCTTTAGACACCTTTAGCCCGTTCAAAACCAATTTATAGTATTTTATACCCCGTTCTCCCCCCCTTGACAGCCAACACTCAAAAAGAGAAAGGAGCCCGGATTTTAGCTCCTCTGGGCATGTGCAGAAACCCCCCACCCACCCCTGAAAAGGAAGAAAAAGGGCTGATTTTTGCCTGCATGGGGTGTCCCGTGCAAGTGACCCCTGGGCGACTTGCCCGCGGTGCTCGGCCGGGCGAGCCAAGTAGCCTAGGAAAAAAAACTTAAGAATATTGCATGTATTTGAATTTTGAAATGTTGCGTACTTAATGTGCAGTCTGTACTTCTATCAGCCTCGGACCTCCTCCGTCACGCACGAATTCGAACCGGCGACCTCAGCCTCGAGAGTTTCTTAACCACTACAGCCATGACATGGTGTACAAAAGTGGATCCACCCCACCCCTGCACAGCTGAAGTGTCCTTCAACTCACATCCACACACACACAACACCACACTCAGGCATTTGCCACACAGGCAGTTCTCGCTCACTCTGCTCCCATCCAGCACGACTGCTTTTTCCAATGGGGCTTTACCCACAGACCACCACAATCCTGGTCTGATTTCCAGGCTGGTTACCGGGCTAGGAAAAAAGATTGAGAATATTGCATGTATTTGAATTTTGAAATGTTGCATACTTAATGTGCAGTCTGTACTTTTATCAGCCGCGGACCTCCTCTGGGCACACACGGGTTCGAACTGGAGACAGAAGTGGATTAATGTGCACTTTATGTTTTTCTGAGTTTCTTAACCACTACAGCCATGGCACGGTGTACAGAAGTGGATTAATGTGCATGTTATGTTTTCCGCAGTGGTGTGGAGGTTGAACTTGATTTGCAAAAAACGTGAAAAAACTTGAAAAACGTTTCAAAAAGAGATTTAAAAATTTGCATATGCAACTGGTCAGCTTGCACACTGCTTGCCGAATTGAGAAGCCAAGAGCTATTTGGAAGCAATAAGGTCCCCTTTATAGCTATTAGCTACTTTCTTGGATTAGAGAAGGAGAGTGATCGGTGGAGGAAGGGGCGGGAAAAGGGTAGGGGGCGGCGTTCGGAAGGAAACTAGACCAGGGGGATGGCGGCGTAGTTAATCTTCATATTGCATTTTCTGTGATACTGCAGTAAACTCACGGAACAGGTGAAGGGGGAATGTGAAAGTACAAAAGGTACTACAAAATTACAAATATAATATTGCTTAATTAAGAAAGTCAGAAACTAACCTTGTCAACAATTCAGCCTCCTCATTGTACAGCGAGATTTTCGACAAGGCACGTGAAGAGTTGGCAATGTGGAAATGGTGGGATCTGAAAGGCCATTCAAATAAGAGCAAGAATGTGTGAATTCGAACTCAGCGACTCAATGACCAAACATTTCTTTGCCCGAATCAAAGCAAATTCGAGAGCTACCACGATTGAAGGATTAAGATCACACACCTCTTCCGAATCGGTGAGGACAGACAGTGAAGGAATGCTAGAAATAGCCAACAGTTTCTATAAGGAACTCTACCAGTCTAAGACGGACTCGCCGATACCCGCTAATGCGTAGAAGCAAGACAGAAAATGCTGCACTACCTGGAGCCAACTATATCAACAGAACAGGCCGAAGCACTTGATAAACCAATCACCTCAGAAGAATTACATCAGGCACTTCTAACAATGAACAATAACAAGACCCCAGGAATTGATGGACTAACCAAAGAATTCTGGGAAAAATTTTGGTCATTGCTAGGGAGTGATCTTTTAAACTTCTACAACGACAGCTGGTCTAAGGGAGGGTTGGGCAACTTACTCAGCAGCAGTGTGGTCACGCTGCTTTACAAAAAAAGCGAGAAAGACGACATTAAGAACTACAGACCTATCTCGCTGCTGACGCCCCCCTACAAGATTTTGGCTAAGACCCTGTCCAGTCGGATTACCAAAATCACCAACAAATGCTTCCATATCGACCAAACAGGATTTATTCCGGGGCGGTATATTCTGGACAACGTAATGACACTGAACGAATCGGTTAGAAAAATCAGGGAAGGAAAAATAAATGTTGCTATCCTCTTCTTTGATTTTGAAAAAGCCTACGACCAAGTAAATTGGGACTTCATGGAAGCGAGCTGGAAAAAATGGGAGTAGGCCAAATTTCAGAAAATGGATCAGGATACTATATAGGGATGCTATAGGGTGCGTCCAAGTGAATGGTCTTCTATCAGATTGCTATCCGATATCCCACTCGGTCCGCCAAGGGGACCCTCTGGCTCCATCAATCTTTCATTTCGTAATGGAGGCAATCACCTCATTTCTGCGTAAAGACCCATCGATTCAGAGACTAGCCAGTACCGAGGTAGGCTCAGCCCACCAGATCGATTTTCCTACAGCTATCATGTTTGCGGATGATCTGACGGTCCTGATTAGGGCGTCTGACTCCTGCTTCAGAACACTAGCCAAGGCAATGGAGACCTTCAAAGTAGCCTCAGAAATGAGGATCAACTGGGGGAAAACAATTGGATGGTGGATTTCCGAAGATGAACCCCTCTCACTCCAAGGGGACGAGGTGACTATGATGTGGCAGACACCTGATTCTCCTACTCGATATCTTGGCATTCTAATGACGAGAGATGGGCTGGCGCCTCAAATGGGCCCTGCTGTGCTGACAAAACAGATCAATAAGATAGGGAGATGGGGCAACACATTCACGTCTCTTATCGGTCGAGCGTTGGTCCTCAATACGTCAATCTTTTCAATGATGTGGTACATATCGTCCATTTGGACAGTCCCTGACAGCTCCGTCAAGGAGCTGAACTGAAGAGCTAGAGTTTACCTTTGGACAGGCGACCCCAACGGAGACAAATGCATATCTAAGATAGCATGGCACTATGTTACAAGGAGGCCACGAAATGGAGGCCTAGGAATTATTGACCCAGGAACGGAAACCAAAGCTCTGCAAATCAAATGGATCATTAAACTATTGATGAAACCGGACTGCGCCTGGAACAAACTGGCATTAGATAGCATCAGAATCGGTAGCCCCAATTCCCTCTCCGCATGACATGTTAGGCTTGTTCTGGGTAATGAATAAAGAATGCCTAATAACGACAGGACGGAGGAACCGTACGAGGAACAACAGACCTGAGGATCATCGTCCACACACTCCGTATTGGCCGGCGCTGCTCCAATCGTGGAGGAAAATAATGCCTAATAAGACCAACAGACTGAAGTCCAAAGATGAAGTTCTCAGACAGCCGCTCTTCGATAATGAATGGCTAACAAACGAGGCCGATAATCCACTCTTCCTCGAACAGAAATGGCTGTCGTGGGTCAAAAATGGTATTTGGAAGGTAGACCACCTGTGGAAGGAAGACAGAAAAGAATGGATAACGGAACAAGAGGTCAGCGCCCGACTGAAAGGATGCCACAGACGAGGGGCCAATCTCCAGTACCTACTTAGTCGTATCCCACAGGAATGGAAAGACATCCTGGCAAAAGACGAACCGTGGAGACCAGGAGAATTGGGCCTCATGATTCAAGATATTACCCCCTCTAGAGCCTTTCAATTCTCCCATATACAGCAAGACTCACACACCAGAGCCACCGTCCTCTCCTTCCCGATTTCTCGCACCGACACTGATATGCCAGCCATTCTGAACTGTAACATCGAATCATCCTCACTAGACACCTTCCTCCTCAGGAAAGTAAGGGTCTTAGGCCCATGGCCAAAGTCAATCTTTAGACCAGATACGGCAGTCCGGTCCCTAGAATTCGATCCTGCCGAATGGGCCTGGACGCCAAATGTGGCCAGCAGCTTCAAGTCAGAAATCCCAATTCAGGACTACACAGTCAAACTCGGGTACAGACTCTCGCTGAAGACAAAGAATCCAGACCCCATAATCAAAAATAGATGGCAGAACCTTGTGGGCCAGGAAGCCGACAAAATTCAAAAAAATTCCGTGGGAAAAATTTAAACGGATTCGACCAATTAAGATTAGAAGCTTGCAGTGGTTGATAGTCTACGCTGCCCTACCGGTGAACCAATGGCTGCACACTAGACGGAAAGCCACAAATCAGGACAGCTCGGGGTTATGCACAGTCTGCTCTTCAGGAGTGGTAGAAGATTATTTATGCCATATAAAGCACCTCTGGATGCTAATTCACGGAAAACTATACGAGAAACACGAAATAATTTATATACGGAACGAGATCGTCCTGTCAAAATACATCGATTTCTCACTCGTGTCTTGGAACTATTTCTTGGTAATTTGGCTAATTTGAGAGTATATTCATAACGTATTTGGTTAGGAAGAGCTCTATCTTGACAAATCGCTTTATATTGCATGCGTTTACACCTTGTTATGTTCAATTGGTAATTCAACTAGCTGACTAACTAAGATTGGATTGACTGGAACTGGTAAACTCATTGTTGTAGGTTATCCGGAACTCAACAAAAAAAACACACTGCGCGTGAAATCAATGAAAGTGGGAAGCTGAAAGATCACTGTGGAAAAAGAAAGGCAGTGATCTTACGTTCTGTGCTTCGCACCATAACGCGACCTCTTGGAAGTGCCTATTGGAAACTGATACGAATTTGGATTTTAACGTGCTGGTGTTTTTTAATTCACTGTCTAGTAGCCTGCAAAGAAGCGACAGACTACTGGGCGAGAGCCTCTTCACTTTGGGGCTCCCTCTTCACGTCCCCCTTCCCTGATCAACCCATCCAACTGCTCCTTCTGACTAACATCCCCGATCAAGCTCGGAGAGCGGAAACGATCTGGTTTGAGCTCATCGGAAAAGTGACGCTATGGGTCATATGGAAAGAAAGATGCAGCAGAACAATTGAAGGATGCGCCAATCCAAGGGAGAAGGTGTGGATAGAAACGAAAACAATGATTCAAGCAGAAATTATTTGCAGATGGCGAAAGATCAAACAGGCCTGGACAGAGGACGAGGAGCAGCGGAAGAAGGAGAGGCTGGGCTTCTACAACAGCTGGCTGCTGAAGGGCAAGGTCGCAGAGCTGCGAGAGGACCGGGTATGCTGGAAAGAGTGGCACAACTCAATTCCTGAAAGGGGCTTTCAACAACATTCAGCGCCGGAGGCAATAATTGCGGCTTAAGCCTGAAGGGATTGAACCCCACGCCGCAAGATCTTAGGGGAAAAAGATAATAGAGGTGACGTGGAGGAAGATAGACTGGGGAAGGAGAGTGGCTGTCCAAGCCTAAGAATACAGAGTGTGGACTGAGGATTTAGAATGGTCGGTAGCCTTCTGAGAAAGGGCTGGAGGACTAAAAGGAGAAACGACAAGGTAACAAAGGCGAGGAGTGTKCTCTCTCTCTCTAGGTTAAATGGTTATATCTGACAGATCTGGATACCAGGTCTGAGAGGAGAGAAGAGCGAAGGGCAAGCTGACAGTCAATCCTCCACTACGGTGGAGCAATCAATGCTGTTCAGGGGTCCTTCGGCCAG